TTCCAGAAGCAGATAGAACAAATGGACTAGGTCAGGGGTTCAGATATGTAGCTACCCCAGTGTGGGATATAGTCCTAGAAAGCTGCACTTTGCCCAGGTATCTGTGACCAATAAAAATAGAGCAAATGCAAGGAAGTGTAGAACAACAACTTAATGTGTAGTATTTCCAAGAATTTACCTATATACCACTAAATATTTTCACATTCTTGTTTGCTTTTGCAAAATGCCCAGGCAATAGTGTACATGGGAGTCTGTGTGATTTAACTGGCTGGCAGGGAAATTGGAAATAAATGAAAATAACATACAAGGTTTCACATTTGTGTTGTGTAAAGAGGCCAGATTGAAAAGAAAAGACAGATTTGTCACTGATAGTCTGAATTTGCCCTCAGCTGTATCTCCAGAGTGACTAGTTTTCCCTGTTTCTTTCCTTTTACCATGGGTGGATCTTCACAAATGATAATGTCCATTGCTGCACCTATGAGAGAGGATGCTCTTGAATGGACCCTTTAAGTAACACAATTTGGGCTTCCTTATGGTGCTATGCCCCAGGTAAAATCCATATTCAGTGTGAAAATCCAAGAAACTGGTGACCTCTGAAGTTATTTATATACTACTTCTGGAGGAAATTGCTCTGATTGGGCCACATAAGATATGCTGTGTCTGATTTCTTAAGAGTCTCTGGAGCTCTGAAGGCAAGGAGCACTTGTCTTCTCTAAGGTAAACCATCTTAGCTTTTCTTAAGGCTTAGCTCAGGGTCTCCACCTGGAGGCCTTACACAGCCAGTGCTAGGTGTGGCTACATACATCATATCTGTTGGTCAGTGAAATCTAAAACAAAGTTGAATTTCAAGAAAAAATACCTTGGGTTTATTGAACTTCCAGTTATTTCTATCAGTAATGTGCACAGTATTTTCATAGGAACAAAAACATTAAATGTAGTACAGTTTTTCTTCTGTTATATAATCCAACTAAAGGTTGCATGTAAAATCTGCTTCACCTATGCCCAGGACTTTATTTATAGTACTTATAATGTTAATAGAAGTAATGGTGTATGTGTTGACCAAACATCCTGGTCAATAGAATGTGTGCTTCTTAAGGGAATTATGTTTATAAATCCATAAATGTGCAATATGTAGGATAAAACCTGGATCAGAGTAGATGCACTTGGCTGTTTCTTCAAGTTTTATTTCAACAAAAATTGAAAAAAAAATTGCAAAATGACCAGTTTCCTTAATGTTTTTCCCAAGATTCAAATATTTCACTCAGGAATTGTTGAGGGATCTATGGCACATGGTTCTTCCCTGTGCAGAAATATGCACTCTATGGAAATGAAAGTCCCTATGCTCCTGAAGCTTATGTGCTAATGCTGAAGGTTAAGAAGAGTAATCTACCATATGACCCAGCTATCCTACTCCTTGGTGTTTATTCTAAAAAAATAAAATTAGTATACTATCCTGATATAGGTACATCAATGTATATAGCAGCACAGTCCATACTAGCCAACTTATAAAACCAGCCCCAGGTGCCCATCAACAGATAAATGAATAAAGAAAATGTGGTATATATACACAATGACTGGAACTGGAGAACAGCATGTTAAGTGAAATAAGCCAGATTCAGAAAATCAAGGGTTGAATATTTGCTCTCATATGTAGAAGCTAGAGGGAAAAAAAAAGCAGGGGGTGGGGAATCCCAGAAAATTTTTTAAAAGTTCAGTGGAGTAGAGGAAAGGGATTGAGGGGGAAGGAAAATGGAGAATTGAGGGTTGGGAAAATGCAAGAACTGTGAAATGAAATTGAACAAATGATGCTAGGTATATACCACAAAGAATTTCACCTCTATTTGTATCTCTAAAGCACTGATTAAAAAAAAAAAAAAGAGCTGTAAATAAATAGAAGGAAGACCAGTAGAGTAAAGGAAGGGGCACAGAGGAAGGAGGAGGGGAGAAGAAGAGAAAGTACTAAGGACTGAAATGGAACAAATTATATTTCATGCATGTATGATTAAGTAAAAATGAATTCCAATGTTGGGTATAACTATACTACACTAATGAAAACATTTAAAAAGAGTAATTTACATTAGGTATACTTACTTTGTCTGGGTTCCTTTGTTAAAATTATACACTGGCTTTGAGGGGATGATAAAATATTCCAAGCTACAGTATTGAAAACACTCAAAAGAATCTATGATTTCATAACTAAGAGTTGAAAAGGACAGTACAAATATAGAGGTAAAGTACGGAGCTCCCATCTGAGAGAGTAGTTGCAGTTAAGTGGCTCATGAAGCTGCTGTGCTGCAGTGTGCAGGAATGATCTACTTATAAAAGGCAGAATCATAAGACAAATTTTCCCTACAGGTGACCACTAAGCCAGCTTCAGTCATTTCCCTTCAGAAATGCCTTACATTGAATTTTGCTTCTAGAGATACTTCATGCCATCTAGTGAAAGTGGAATCTCATAAATAAGGGGTCCTCAAAGCTGTGAGAGGCATCCTCTGGGACCCTTTCAAATTTCTTGGTTGCTCACATCTTGCAAACCTAGAAGGTAAGCACAAGCTCACACCTTATAAAAATAATATTCACAATTCACTTAAGTGAGAAAAGGAACCTGGGTGAAAAAAGGAGGGGCATTCATTTTCTAGTGCTTGGGGTCCCTTCCCTCCAGCAGAAGCAGAGTATGAAGAGAGGGACCTGCAGTGTGCTATAGCAATCTGTTATGGGGACCGAGAAATGAATACTGTGTTCAGATTTTTCATAGTAATTACTTTTGTAACACATGTATAAATGCACGTTTTAAACTTTGTCAGTCACTGCCCTTCTCTGAATTATATTCAACAAAGTGAATTGCATAAACACTAATTATTTTGATTAAAGAAACAAATTACAGCCCCTCCAATGTTCCTAGATTTTCCCTCTTGTTTTTTAGTGAAGGAGTTTTAGACCTGTTCTAATATAAATTAAAGATTCTTTGAATTTTGTAATCCTTGTGTAACCATGAATTTTTTAAGCTCCTCAAGTTAGCTCTGCTTCAATGAAAGCCCATTCTTTCACAAAAGGGAAAATATTTTCCAAGCAGTTAACTTTAAGAGACAGTACATATAAAATAAACTAATCTCTGAACTCCTAGTGTCCCACCCCCCACCACGAGCCTTCATCCGTTGTCACGTCCATAAAAAACACATTAAAAAAAAGATAGAAATGAGGAATAAACGATGCCACTTCCAAGTGCTGTGGCCTGTTCTGCCCTCTAGCCAAGCAGAACCGATACTAGAAGACCTTGGGCTGCGGGGAGGGGATAGTGTGTCCTGTAATTACCGGGAGTCTAAGGTGGTAGCTGGCCCTTCCGCGTGCAAACGCAAACAGCAGCATCAGAAATAAATAACAGGCACTCGCCCCCACGGAGCTCTGCTAGAGCCAGGGAAGGGCCTCGGCAGAGTGGGCTGGAGGCCGGACGCCACTGGCCTCGCAGAACCGCCCGGCGCTGTCCATACAGATGAGCTCCTCCGCTGATACAAGAAAGCAGAGCGAAGGAGGAGCGGAGGAGGCGCGGAGGAAAGCGGCAGAGCCGCGCACCCAGCTTTGACGTCGCCGGGCTGCGGCTACCAGCTCGCGCTCTCAGCACGTAGCGCACAACGTGACCACACACAGCCTTCCTCCCCGGCAACCCGTCCGCCTGCGCTCCGTTCGCCGCTTCGCCCTCCGCCTCCTCCCTCCTTTCGCCTCCGCGGCGCGCACCCCCGCGCAAACCCAGGGATTCCGGCCATCGTCGGCCCCGGGCGCTCGCCGCCCAGCCCGGCACCTCTGCCGCAGCAGCTACCGCCCGAGCGGCGGCCACGCAGCCTGGTGCCCTCCACAGGCGGCCGCTCCCGCGTTCACCTCTGGATGCCAGCACTACATTAGCCCAGGCGGGGAACCCCTTCTGCGGCTCCCTCCTCTAAACTCCCGCTTGTCCCGACCGCCCCCACCCCCTCCACCTGACGGGGGCGGCGCGGAAGCGAAGAGGACGCGCGCAGTGCCGGTGGGCACGCGTAGACGTGTGTGCGGATCGGTTCTGTGCTTGACATTCTCCCTCTCTTGCAAGTGGCGTTGCCTGGACTCTGCTTTCGGCTCCTGGAATTGGTGCGGCGGGCCAGAGCACCCTCTTCGCTGGCGGGCGCTAAAGGCTATCTTGGAGAACAGTGGCGGTGGCGGTAGCGGCTGAGGCTGGTGCCTGGTGGAGCTCCAGACGCACACTCCGCTCCCTGTTGGACCCCTCTTCTCTCCCCTCCTCCCTTTCCCTCCTCCCCACCCCCGTTTCCCTAGCCCTACTCCTCTTCTTCCTCCTCCTCTTCCTCCTCTCCGGGTTCGGCAATGCAAGTCTGTATCGTGTAACAGGATTGGCGTTGCAATGGCAACTGATGGAATGGGGGAAGGCAAGACAGCAGGGCTGGGGGCTCCGGACTGCAGGCGGGCGGGCCGCTGCCGCCGCTTGACGCTCCTCTGGGGACCTTCGCGAGTTACTTTGTAAAGGAGAACCCAGGCGAGATAGCCCTGCTTGGTGCCCGGGGTCAGAGGCCACTTCCTGCTCCTCAGCTGTCCAAGCCAGGCTCCACCGCGCGGTACCCCGGGCCCCCTGCCCGCGCCTGCCGCCAACCCAGCGCTCCGCCGCTGCCGGCGCTGCGGAGACTGGAGCCCGCTTCCCTGAAGAACACTTCGCCTCGCGGCTCCCCTTCCCATCACCGCCCCCTGCTCCTCCCCGGCGTCTGCGATTTTCTCAGGCGCCCGGTGTGAGTGCGGCGTGCGTGTGTGTCAGGGTATTTGTGTGTGTGTGTGTGTGTGTGTGTGTGTGTGTGTGTGTGTG